GAAAAACTTATCTAAGTAACTCGGGATCCACCACTTAAATTTGTTGAGCCTTAATAAAAAAAATTTAAAAATAATCTTTGAGGTACTCATTTTCATTCTGATAATTTTTTGAGAAATGGGAAGAGTCTTTGACCATTTTTTGATTGGCAACAAATTGTTCGACAAACACCTTGGCCAATTTGATGAACATTGGAATGGTTCGTGTGGGAAGTGAATAGAACCATGTTCAAGCTTACCCTTTAAGGGTTGCTGGAAAGACATGGCAGAGGAGCACATCAAAGGCTCATTGGATGTGCATGATGGTCCTTAGTGATTGATATGCTCGTACGGGTAGGATGTCCTGTCATACAAATCGATGCTCAGTAGTTTAAATCCTGTCGAAAAGGGGTATTAAAGGATGACATAAATCATGGGTGATGACTCTTGGAAGTATTATTGACAAAGAGATTATCTTATATTTCCTATAGGGAACTCCTCTTGGACTAGTCTTCGTAGTTCATATTGTAGGACATTACGAGGGAGTTCAGCAATTTGTTGTCAGGCAAAGTCCTCATCGGGGATGTTAGAAGCAATGCGAGGTTGGCAACCTACGTGCGAAGGGTAGAGCTTGTTGTGTTAGCAAGATCATTATCTTCATTTTTCGAAGGGAACATCCTTGGAGGTCGAAGGGGAATCTTGACATGAAGGTGTTTAGGTTCAACATCTTCATGCCCTGGTGATCTCGAGGGAGTAGATTCTCTTCTTATGGTGCTAGTGTCGATCCCCGAGTCTCTCATGAGTTGAAGGATATGATTATGAGACTCCTCAATCTATATGATATGATCTTCCATGGAGGGTTCTGATGTCCCTTCCCCAATTGGGTTAGACCCACCCAGATAAAAAGTGGTAGATTTCTGGCATACGTGGTTCATGGAAGGATTCATGGATTGGTATGGCTATGCTTATTAACTATTAAAGTGGTTCTTAGGATTGTGGGACTAAAGTTTTCCACATACGGTGTCAAATATTTTGGGGCTAGAATATATGTAGCGAGAGAGTTATAATCTTATATCTTATCATTGTACGAATATCCAGCTCACACACAGAGAACACAAGATTATTTATGTGGAAAACCCTGGAATGAAAATAATGATCGGGCCTGGCCTAGTTGAAAATGATTCCACTAGAATTTAAGAAGATTACAATGGGATGACTCATTCTTGAGTGCAATCAGATTACAAATGCCAACCGTATGGTTGCAATATAGTTAGAAATTGGGATGAAAATCTGGTGTAACTTGTGGTCTGTTGGAAGTTTGGTGTTACTTGGAAATTCAGGCATCATTTGGTAGTCTGATGGTGGTTTGGAAAAACTACAGTGTCGGGTGGTGTTCTGACATAATTCTGGTGTCGAGCAGTGGCTCGATAGAACTCTAACATTGGGTAGTGGTCTGGAAGAACTACGGGCTTCAGGTGGTAGTCCGGCAGAACACCGGGTGCCAGGTGGTAGTCTGACAGAACTCCAGGTGTCATGTGATGGTTTAGTAGAACTATGGGCGTCAGGAGGTGATCCGATAGAACTTCGGGCGTTAGGTGGTGTTCCGGCGGAACTCTGGCGGTGGTCAAGGAGGCAAGGAGGCATGAGCGATCTCCGACCTCTCTCTTTCTTCTTAGGCTTAAGGGTCCCTTTTCAAGAGGAAGGAGGGGTCTATTTATATATTTCCTAGAGTGGCATGACCCATAAATAGGTGGAGGATCAAGGGAAAATGGGGAGAGGTTTGGATAGATGGTTGATGTTGAATCATTTGATCATTGATCGTTCACTAGATATTTGAAGGTCTTAATGTTGTCATAATTCTGTGATCTTGGGCTCGTTGGATTCATCTCATCGAGCCGCTTGATTTTACTATAAGCATGTGACGTTTGAAAATAGTTTGGTAATCCAAATTATGGTTTGAATCCTCTAACAACACTTCGGGCTCTTGATTTGTACCCATTTGGGCTCAAATTGAGTTGAATTTGGTATCATTCGGTCTGTATTTCCTTGACATTCAATTCGACTGTAATTTCATTGAAATCGGAGTTCGGATGGTTCTAATTGTAATTTTGAAAGTTTCCAACTTGAACTTTCCTCGAGATTTGTGCCCGATCAAGATAATTTTTTGAAGATGTATCACCTATATAATTATGAAGTACATAAAAGAAGTTTAAAACATAATAAAGACTTCATTTGGGAAGAAATTAATACAAAATATTTTAAGAAAATTTAAATTTTTAATTAAAGTGGCATTCATAAATTTAAAAAAAAAATTGTTCATTTGATTATTAATCATATTTGTCAACTTTTACTCAGTGGGATACTCCAATTAAACGACAATGCTATTGCGTTTAGAATTTACATTGTATAGCAAAATATCCAAAAAAATTTGGGTTCAAGCCAAGCTGGCCCAGTTCAAGCTCAGCTAATTTATTCTACTTGATCTTAGTTCTTTACAAATGAACTCTGCATCAAGCAAATGACCCTGATCAAGAAATTCATCCCAAGTAGGCAAGTATGGATTATTAAGTCATCCAGCTCATTGGTATGTTGGTTGAGAGCTTTGCTATCAATAAAGTTGCAAATAGCTCAAATGAGAAGCCTTATAGAATTCTTGTTGGGCCATTCTTGCTTTAGTTAGTATAAAGGTCTGCATGTGCCTAATCATATGAGAAGAAGATGAGTTATTTTTTTAAGCCTCTGAGACTCCTTCAATAAATCTCCCCACAGCTCTCGGCTAGCTATGCTGTAGTAAGATATGAGAAGGGATAATTGTACTCATATTGGAAATATGAATTCTCCAAGATTTGTTTTCTTAGTAGTCTATTGAAAGAGAGTGAATTCCTGGTGGGAATAATCTTAGAACCTCATAAATAATCATAGTTACCTGAAATTAGAATCTTTAGAATCGGGAATTAATAGCCATTAAATGAGTGAATGATTAAAATAGTCTTAAAGTTTTTTAGATAACTGAAGTATAGTCTTAGATTTATTTAGATGTTTAATGAAGGCTTCTTTTGGGATAACATTTGGCCATTATTTTTTTAGTTCTTTCAAAAAAATAAATACTAAAAAAATTGCTTTATAAAGCAATAAAAAAGCTGTCCCAAACGAAACCTTGATTTCAAAAATCATTGAACTAATTTGATCCAACCACCAATTTGCCATTGTTTTTGACATGTGGAGAGAAGTTTTGCATGTGTTTATTTTTTTCTTTCTTGATATCAATTTTGCTAATTAGTACCCAAAAATAAGATTGAACACTACCAAAAAATGGGGCTACTGCAGCACTATTTTTAACCTATCCCAGCGGTTTTAACCCCTACTATTTTTCTTGCAGCGGCTCTAAACCGCTACATATCCGCTGTAATTGCAATATGCTGCAATGACATTCCACAGAGGTTCAAGGACCGGCGGGGTAGAAATGCTGACTATAGCAACGGTTATAACTGCTGAAAAGCTCCAGAATAAGTGCCAGTTATAACCGCCACAAGTAATGAAAAAGAAAATGATATCCAGTAATGTGGCGGTTTTAACTGGTATGATTCTGGAATGTAGTAGTGGTTAAAACCGCTACTAAGTTCCAGAATTTTTTAAAAAAAAAAATGAAACCCGAATGTCCACCAAAAACAAATATAATACATTCACCAAACTGAAACCTAAACCCACATAAATAGCATATGTAACTGAAACAAAAATACTAGTGAAATCATAGAGATTCACAACAACAACAAGAGAATATTTAACTATATATATAATTGAGTCACATGACTCAAACAAGAGAACATAAAAAACTTTTACATAAGATGAAAGAATTACGCTTCTATGCTTTTATTTATACTACAAACTTTAAAAATTAATTGAAATAGTTGGTCCTAAATGGTAGAAGAATCATATAAACACAAAGAAACCAAATTGAGAGATAAAATCAATGGAGTTGTGGCATGCAAAATCATTACTCTCAGCAGCCATTATTCATTGAAAAGTTTGATTCTATGAGTTTGATGATTGATGCACATGCTAAGAGCTTGGCTAAATTTGAAATAGTAGGCATAATGAATATGGACTTGCTGCAACAAGGGGCTTTAGGAAATATTTGATAAATGTAATCTTATATTATTTTCTATTTAAATAAAAAAAACTATGATAATTTGATTGTTTAATGAATAAATTTCTTTCAAAAAGAAATAATATGAACATATTCTTAAAAACAGTAATTAATTTTTGAGAAATTAAATTGGAAATTAAGCAATAATTAAGCTAATCAAAATAGACGGGACAAGAGCAGGTTCGTGCTTGTGAAACATGTGGACTGTGGACTTCTTTGTATTTTTGGCTTTTCTTCAACAACAATACTACTAAGAAGATTATGTTGATTACCAAATGACTGGAAAAAACTAACAAGAGGCATAGCAAATATTTTGACTCTAAGCATATGCATTTATAAATTTAAGTGGAAGGCATTATGTCACACCCAGATGCCATCAAAGTTTGATGAGGTAGTTTTAAGTTCATGTTTTTCTCTGTACAATAGCTTTGGTTGCACTTCTATTTCAACTTCCAATTCTCTTTGATTTACATCAATTACTCATTTTCTCAACACATACATGTGAAATATAATTTTCTGTAATTCTACTTTTTGCAATTAAAACTACCTCATCAAATTGGAAATAGTTAAGAAATAAAAAGATTCTGATGGTCAAAACGTAATAAATTATGGATCGAGATATTGAACTTGCATCATCATCTCCAAAGAAACCACTATTCCAATGAGAGAAGAATTTTACAAACACAAACAAAGGCAAAAGGAAAGCTTCATACTACCTCACGAATATAATGCCCACAAACATATAAAAGAGCTATGAAAAGTGCTTAAAATAACCATGTAATTGCCACCAAGAAATAAAATAATACTAGATAATCTCAAAAAGAGAGGATCATTCATCATTCTTGTTTTATGATCTATAATATCAAAATTTTAAGCAACATCCCAAAAAGTAGAATTACATACCAAGATGCATTTCAAAACAACTTGCACAAACATGGGTTATCTTCAAAATGAAATTCTCTTTCTTCTATAACTTCATCTTTAAGAAGAAGTTTCATTGTCATCCTATCAATTATAAGAAGATTGTAAAATATTAGTATTCAAATAACCAATATTAAAATTAGAATGTGAAAATTTACATACCATTTGTGAGCTTCCTTGAGGTGGATGCTGCATTCAAATTTCTTGCATGAATTGCCTCATTTCAGTACGTAATGAGTTGACCTCCTCTTTGAGATTAACTATTTGACTTAAATTACTTCCACAACTACTCGTGCCATTATTTGTGCTATGAGGGAAATATCGTGTAGGTGTTACACCAAAACCTTGGGTTCTAACTCTGCCTGGGTGTTCAGGTCCCATTACCATACTGAACACCCTTTCGTTAGCCTCCACATTCCCATCCTCTGGTGTAAGCTCATCCTTAGCCAAAAGCTCGCAAGCTTGTATCTATGTTATAATAAATTTAGTTAATTTTTATTTTAAATAAACAAAATATAATAATGAATTACATATAAAAAAATTATAGCTAGACTAAAATTACCCATCTCTGATTAGCATCTTCAGATGACCAGGTGCCATCTTTACACAATCTGTTAACTCTCCATAATAATAATCTATCCTTGATAGCCTATATCAACAAATTTAATCATTAGGCAATTAATTACTAAGTCTGTTTCTTTGCATTTGCAGCATTTATGGCGGTCCTCTCCTGTTATATATGATTCTAACTCTAAGCTGAATCATTATGAAAATTTTAATTAAATATAATGATGGTACTAACCTTATCTTTTGGTTGTGACCACTGATTGACTAGATGACAAAACAATGTTGCATCAACACCAGCTGGAATAGACTTCATAATTTCCTCGATAGGATAGCAATCCCAATGCTCAGCTTTTAAATTATTATGGTTACGCCACTTAACTCCAAGGGATTGAAGAATCCAGTGATGTATATGTCCAGGAAATGCAAACTTTGACTGCAATATAAATAAATATTTTCTTAATCATAACATAAACCTTAATATTAAAATTTTATTTAATATTTTACTTACCTCCACTTCAGCTAACATTTTTTTTTCTTAAAAGGCTCCAGACCCTTATTTCTCCAATCTGGAAAGGATAAGGGTGCCAGCACAGGATCTTTTGCAATAACACCTAGATATGATCCTAATAGGACAGACTCTGAAATATTGCTTGGCACATTATTCTCATTCACCTCTATATGAACACATGTACCTGGCGGCATGTTTTGTATGTCAATGCATGTGGTGCACCCCCTACGTACGTGCAATGACACCTAGATATGGTTTTTATGTGAAAGGTATATCCATTAATAAAAAAAACCTTTATATGTACGTGCAATTTTATTGGGCCCCTTGGCCAGGACCTTAATTTCTTCTGTTACTTCTGGACCACCATCACCCATAACCTAAAAAAAAATTATTTGCCTTTACACAAGTGTAAATATTAAATATTAAATATTAAATAAAAACATCAAGCTTAAAGCTTACTGTTATTCTCAACCATTCATGAAACTTTTCATTAATAAGTTTCTCGACATCCCAAGTTGTAAGATGTGTGTGCGTGTTCCTCTTTCTTTTCTCACTATCTTTAAAATGTTCTCTTAATGGTATAAGACAATCAAAATGGCTTGCAAACTCTATGAAATTGTTTACACCATTTACATAATCACGGCTCCACTTGGCTTTTGTAATCCAACTATTATCCATATTAAGTGAAAAATGAGTTTCCAAGTCACTGCTAAGAATAAAGAATCATTAGGTCAGTAAAAAATTAATTCATAAATCACTATAGTCTCTAATTATTGTTGTCTTGAAGGAATTATAAATTTCAAATGGCATTAGCAAATTTCTCTACTTATTGTTGTCTTTTAGTTCATTTGAAACCTTGAAAGAAGAGTGGAGCTTTGTTCGTGGTTCCCATGTTATGATATTTAAATGGAAGAGCAAGCTTAGCTCTACTATTTTAGATGGTTGGTTTGTCTGTCTTTGAGTTCATTTTAAACCTTGAAAGAAAAGTGGAGCTTTGTTCGTAGTTCCTATATGTAAATTAATAATCATGCATGACCATTATACTTTTATATTGTTTAGGGTTAACATCTATATTTTATTCAAACAAGAGTAGTTCGGTTTATAGTAAAATTTTACTTGTTAGAATTTAGGGCTCTAAGAGTAAAGATCCGAATCTAAAAAAGGTAAGGACGGAAAAACACAATAATAAAACAAATTAAATTTGTTAGTGATCCAAACTGATTAATAACAATAGATAATATAATCATATTTTACAATCTAATGAAGATATTAACAATATATTAATTAAAAACAAGAGAATTTCTCTATGAGCAATTGACAATTCTTGTGAAATTGACTAAGTGGTAAATCTAGGCAAAACCAAAACTCACGGCAGATGATAGTAGGATTTGAGCACACCGGCAAAATGCAAAACCAAATCTCACGGTATAAGACTAAGGCCTATGAACCTGCTACCAAACTTAAAGGCAAATAATAGCAGGATTTGAGCACATCGGCAAAATGCAAAATGAAATCTGAGGGAAAATGATCCGGCCTAAATCCTGCTACCAAACAGCCCCTTAAATGTTGAACGTTTTTCTGATTTTAGGGATTACACTGACAAGATAAGAAGAAGAATGACAAGAAAAGTGAGAAGATCGAAGAAGAATACAAAGGAAAAGAAGAAGAAGATGATGAAGAAGGGGAAGGGACTCACAGTGATGAAAGGTCGGCCAGAGGTGCCTTTCGCGAGAGGAGAATACTGATCGAGCAAAATGTGAGCGGGATGTGCGCTATGCTCCTCTCCTCCAAGACGCGCTCCGTCGTTTCGCTCCGCTGGAGTCGCACGCAGAAAAGCAGAGACGGATCGGGATTTTGTTCTCGCGTGCAGAAATAGAATTAGGGCTTCATATTATTTGCGGCGAATTTAACATGGTGCTACGGCACCGGTTTTAACCGGTGCAAGAATTAGTTTTTAGCAGTGGTTCTATTACTGCTACTACCAACTGATGCTAAAAAGACAACTTTTTAGTATAACAATAAATAATCTAAAATAATCTAAAATGCCTGGCTTATTGTTGAAAATATTTCTCCATCAATTTTTATTTAAAGAGATAACAATGTAAACGATAAGATCAAATCAACTCAAACTTGATAAGTTCAAGGACTTAATAGAAAATTTAAAAAATGTAGGATTAAAATGGATGTACTTAAATATGATTAGGACTATTTATATTATTTAGATTTTTTTTTTGAGATAGTTTTCTTATTATTTTTTAAAATAAATTTTTAGTATAAAAAATTTTTTTGAAAGGAAAATTTTTATAATAAAAAGCTTCCTTTAAAAAGAAAATAAAAGAGCCAAGACTGATCCAATCAAATTCTTTGCTTTATTTGGGGCAACATTCTTACTGATTTTTAAACAATTTTTGTACATAAATTTTTTATTTAAAATTTTTGTTCTAAAAAATTGCTTCATGAAACAGTAAGAAAACTATTCCAAACTTCGTTGAGAATAGCCTTTGGAGTTTGGCCACTTCTTTATTTTTATTTTACAAAAAAATTTTGTGCTAGAAAATTACTGTAAAAAATTTCTAATTTTTTGTTCTAAATAATTGCTTTGGTAGCAATAAGAAAGCTGTCGAAGGCTTTGTTTGGGAATACTTTCTTAATGCTTCTTCAAGCAATTTTTAGTAAAAAAAAAATTAAACTGAAACTATTTTTATTATTAAATTGCTTTAGAAAGTAATAAAAAAATAATCCCAAATAAAGTCTTGATTTAATTCCTACTTAAGGCTTTTAGCTTTAACTTCAAATGGCTGATCATTGAACTTTTGCTCATGATTTTGAATAAAAAAATTATCATAGGAATTTATGATATAGTTAATGTACATTTTTCATTTATAAATAAAGAAAGCAATTTCTTAATTATGGATGCAATTATTATGTATCAAATCAAAATATTGACATGGAGAAATTTGTTATGAAATTTTGAGTGAATTAAATTATAAATTATATATATAGAGAGAGAGGTGAAACCAGATGCAAGAATGCTAAAAAAATATATTGATGCTTAGTTTTAAATAAAAGAAATGGTGAATAAAATTTTAAAGAACTTAGAATTCCCCTTCTATTTTAACTTTGTTATTTAGAAAATATTACATTTGGCCAGTTTTCAAATATCTTATAAATTTTGTACCATTATCATCAACACCGCAAATCACCACATGCAATCTTTGGCCATTATAGCTTGCCACGAGCTACCATAGCCTGCCATAAGCTAGCGTAGCAGCCTCCCAATATTGTAGTCACCAATAAGGATCCTTCGTCGCCTGTTACTTACCGATGGACCCTGATATATTTTACTGCTACTACTATCACTCTCCAACCACCACAATCATATTAGGGCATCTCCATCCGAACGGCAAACTAGTGTTTGCCGTTCTTCCTTCCCTCCAACCGAACGCGAGAAGTGCCGAACAGTGTGACGCCAATATTGGCGTCGCACTGTTCATACGGCATTTGTTTTTTTTTTTTTAATTCAAAATTTAATTATTAATTTTAAAGATTAAAGATTAGAATTTTTTTTTATTATTAATTAAAATAATAAATTAGAAATATCTTATTTTTTAGTAATCTAAATTTTTTTTACAAAATTAATTAATAGTAGTTAACATTAAGAAAAAAATTAAGATAAAATTCTCATATAAAAAGATATTGAGAGTACAATCCAAAAAAAATCAAAATACAGATACATTCGAATAACAAAAATTAAAATAACAAGTAACGACAATCTAATATCGGAAAAGTGACATATGAAAATATCCAATTTCAGGAATTATCGCTCGTCATAAACAAATCAGAAACAAAGAGGCTCACATTGCACTGCAAAATGCTTTATTTGATCATTTGTGGAATCAATATACTAATACTAATGTTTAGTTGCCTTGTATTTTCTTCGTTCTTATTTAGTGTTCTAATGTAATTTCCAACTTATTAACTAAAATATATTTATGACATATTTATATTCCAAATTATTTTATAGAGCAAAAATATTTGTTTTAATTATATTATATTTAATTAAAAATTCATAAAATAATATTAATGATAAAAATATGTAAAATGAATATGGGAAAGAATATACTATGTATATTCTTTTTGGTGTTAGAAAATGGATTCGGTTGGAGACAAGTTACTACATTTTGTGTATTACTGCATTTGGAGTGAAAAATGAGTTTTCCGGTTGGAGATGCCCTTAGCATTGCTTACTATCGTGAGTTCCACCGCCTGCTATCACTATCAGCTGAAGGCTTCCAACACTACTAATAAAACCAGGTTTTCGCAGCGCTTTTTCTAACCTACAGCAGCGGTTTTAACACCTGCAAAATATTTGCAGCGGTTTAAAATCGCTGCACATCCGCCGTAATTGCTTCTCTAGCAGCGTTTTTTAAAATGTTACTGTAGGGTGATTTAGCAGCGCTTTTTCAGCAAGTGTTAAAACCGCTGCTAAAGGGAAGACCGATAAAAAAAAATAAAATGCAAAAAAAAATCAATTTTTATTATTAAAAAATAATTGATAACGATCATAATAATCAGTACAATCTTAGAGCCTTTACAAACAACATATTAATTGATTTTTTCCAATAGCAAACAAACTGTCCACTAAAAGTGTTTGTACAGGCTCTAGGTTGTATTGATATACTATGAACCGTTATCAATTATTTTTTTAATCATAAAAATTGATATTTTTTTTTTTTGCATTTTATTTTTTTAAGGTCTTACCTTTTAGCAGCCATTGCCAATTTCATAATTGAATTAGATAAAATCTAAAACAAGTAGCAAAATACAATAGGTATATAATATCGCATTTGAGTTAAAAATCTGAGTAGAACACCCAGTACCACAAAATGTATAAGAACGACAACTTCAACAAAACATCACAAATCACAGAACTTTTCAAGCTTCTCTTAACATAATAAATCCATCAAAAGTTAATAATACATGAACTAACTCAAGAGTTGTATATCAGCCATTGAATTGTTTGCGAGGAACTTGAAACTAACTTACTGCCTTCATATTACCCTATCAACCCTTCCGTATCGCTGAAAAGTCATAATTAACCGAAAACATTAAGTGATACAGCAAAATGAAAATCGAGCATTAAGAAGTTAGGATGCTGGAATACATGTCCTGAAATTACTGTTCATACACACACACACACACACATATATATATTAAAATATATATATATATATATATATAATATATAATATTATATAATATTATAATATATATATAATAAATATATATATATATATATATATATATATATAATCAAAGAGTTAAAATGAATTATTAAGACTTTATGTTTTACAAAGTTGAATCCATCGTCCTCAGCTTCTTTCAAACAAATAAATCACTTTAGCAATGAACTGTACATTTTTAATAAGTCAAACTCCGAATTTCCTCTTGTATTCTCCAACAA